AATAGTAGTCGCCCTTCACGCGCTTGCCCTCCTTCTTTTCCTTCTCGTCCTTCTTGCTCTTGCTCTCGCTTCGCTTCTTCGCCGACGACTTGCTGTCCCTCTTCTGCTTCCTCTTCTTTTCGTCTCGTGTCGACCTGCCGCCCTTCTTCTTGGCGCTGCTGCTGCTGCTTGTCCTCTTCTTCTTGCTCTTCGACTTCTTGTCCTCGCCCTCGTCGTCCATCTTCTTCCGCTTTCGGCTGGCGCTTTGGCTGGCCCGCTTACTCTTCTTGTCCTTCTTTGGAGACCCGGAAGAGGGGGGGGCGTGTGAGGTGGGGTTCCTTGTGGTTGGGCGGTTGGGGGGGGGGATAACGAACCGTTTTCTCGGCCTCTGCGAATGCTTGACGGAGGTACTGTTCTACTTGCGCAGCACTGTGACCACAATACGTCGACGCGACGTCAGCCCGCAAGGTTCCGGCTGCAGAGGGCGGCATGACGAGGAGAGGAATGGGAGGGTGGGAGTGCGTTGGGGGGGGGAAGTTCGTGCCTGGCTTCGTCTACAGGGTAGAACTCTTCAACCACGACTGTCCCCGCCAGCTTCGGGGACGAGGGAGTGCCTCCCTCCTTCTCTTCGAGCTTGACCGCCGCAGGAAGGTCGTCGGCGACGGGCGATTTCCCCGCCACCACGTACTCCTCCTCGATGACCTCGTCGATCACCACTTCGCCCGCTTTCAGGTCCCGGCCCAGGGTCTCGTCCTGGATCACGATCTCGACCAGGTCGTACACCTCCGTGGCGGTACCGACGTCGCCCACCTTGTCATTCCGCGTCACCTCTGTCTTTTCCTCTGGGCGTGGCTCTTTGGCGTCTTCCTCGCCGTCTCGGGGCTCTCGGCGGTCAGCGACATCGGAGCCCTCCTCGCTGCGTCGATCCGTCGCCATCTCCTTGTCACGGGCTCCGTCCTCCTCCTTCTCCTCCTCGTGCGCCTCTTCCTCTCCGTTTACCTCGTTGCCCCTTTCCTCGACGATCGCGTCGTTCGGTTCCTTGGGCTCGAGCGTCTCTTCTTTCTTGTTCTTCTTCTTCTCCGCCTCCATCTCCATGGCGTCGTCGTTGGTGGCTACGTCCCATTCTTCCGCGGCTTCTTTTAAGGCCTCCACGGGATGCACTTCTTCCATGTCGTTGGTGTGGCCTGGCCCTTCTACTTCTTCTTCTTCTTCTGCCTTCGCTGCGGCGGTGGGGTTGCCTGCTGTGCGCTTTCCTCCTCCTCGCCGAGCTTGCTGTTGTCGGTGGAGAAAGGTCCCCTGGCGATGG